ATCGATGGACTTGGAGTCGCCGCTGGGACTGGTGGCCTCATTTGACTTGCCCGGCTCATCAGTACCGCTGCCAGTACCCGATCGCATGGGAGCACTTGGTGGTGGCATCAGTTCTTTGTCGTCCTTGGCTGCAAAAGAGTATACGGGATATAATTCCGAATTGAATTACTTGAAGTTCTTTTGGAGAAACTATTTTTTTCTAGTTGCAACTTCGCCAGATTTGTTAGCTTTGAACTGATTAATTCGTTTTAAGCTCCGTTGTCAAATATTTGAAAAGTATCACTTTGACAGAAAAAATCTAGATTGTGTGACGTCTTAATATTATTAAAATGAGCTATTTGGTATCAATTCAATGTTTGTTATTTTAACTAAAAAACTGCTGTTAGTTTAAGTTCTATAGAAACTGCTTTTTATTTCTATAACTAACTTGGTTTATAAGCAAATCGAAAATTGAAGTTATTAAAGCAACTGGAAATGCGTGTAACCTATTAGCTTTCCGACGTTACTTACTCAACTTGGTCTCCACCTTAGAGGCAGGAATGGCGTCCTCAAGGTCGTCGTAGTTGGATGAATCTTCTGGCGGAGTGCGTGGACAATCCTCGGATAACTCAGTAATATCCGAGTAATCTATGGCATCGTCCTGAGCCTTAACAGCACCATCCTCCTTTTCATCACTTTTCACGCCCGCTTTGAGGGCATCGAAGGCACTCAGTCCTCCGCCGGACTCGGACTTCTTCTCGTCTTCATCGTCGGACAATGGTTCAGCCTCTTTACGGTCAATTACCTCAAGCAGCATTGAGTCTAAGCCCAGTCTGAAATTAAATTATGTTAGTATAAATAAATATCAAACCAAAAGATTTGATAATTCTACTACAAATTATAATTTAATCTCAAAACAAATGAAAGGAAAAAAGGTGCCTGATTGGCAGTGGCTTCTGGTCAAGATACACCTCGACATGCAGGTTCCTTTGCTCTAGATAGCTATACTCACTTGGCCAAAGATCCAATGTTTTCCCGGAGCTCCGCATCGAACCCAGTGCCCCCGCGCCCTTCGCCATCGTCATCTTCCAGCAATCTGCCCTCGGAGTCAATGTTGCCAAAGAGAATTCCGGTCAAGTCCAATCCATTGCCAATGGATCCCTCGTCGTCACTGTTGTCGGATTCCATCTCCATTTCCATCGGAACTCAATGATTACGCCGCTAATCTTGTTTTTTTTGTCGGAGCGCAGCGAAATTGCATTTTACCACGAAAATACAGCTAGAGATGGGAAAACATCGATACAAACATTCATTCCATCGATGATTTCAACGTGTCTTTCATATCGATGTTTGGCAGAGACTATCGATGTTTGGCAGAGATTATCGATGTTTAACCGCCTCTAGCGATATTTGCTTGTCACTGTTTAGTTCTTACTTCAGTCCACACTGATGGCCAATTTATTTAATTTAATGGAAAATGTTTAGGATGTTATTATTATTTTGGCCGAAATATGAGCACTCGGAAGAAGGAGACGTTGACGGTGGCGGTGGCAGTGTGAATTGGAGTTTGCCTTTCTCACCTTCTTCCTGTAATGTGAATTCGCGAAAAGGTAATGCCATGCCAATAATTTCCAGGATGTTCCTTGACGTTCCTAACCGCACGGTTCCGATATTTAGTCCGATATAAAGTCTTGGCGCGAAAGAATTTGAATTGAACCAGAGCCCTAGCCCTAGCCCCAAGAGGAGGGGGGCTTGGGAGGTTAACGCTCCCCCAGGCAGCAATTTAAATGCAGAGTACAGTGAATAAGCCATCATTTAAAAGTTCAGATAACCATTTTCCAAGAAATCATAGCATTACGAACGTCGTATTTACTCTAACTACATAATTAATATCTGTAATTTTGTGCAATGGAAGTAAAACTGTCCTAAACTTGCAGTCCACCAGGAGCGCTGTCGTTATTTGCGGCGGGAACATCATCTTATCGGGTGAGAGAATTTTATAGAGAATTGCACGTGGGGACTGATAAGCTGCCTTCGATTAGGAAGAGATTAGTTCAAGCTCTTTGAGCTAGAAAATCTCCAGTGCTCAGTATTGTTGCACAAGCGTAACGAACGGACGCAGAAAAGTTGAATATGGCTGGGGAGACAGTAATTTTGGCCTACTCGGGTGGCCTTGACACTAGTTGCATTCTCAAATGGTTGTTGGACAAGCAGTACGAGGTCATCTGCGTCCTCGCCGATGTTGGTCAGAAGGAGGATTTTTCCGCAGCCGAGAAGAAAGCCCTCAAAATCGGTGCTAAAAAGGTTTGGTGACGGAAACTAGAAATGTTAAAGATGTGTCTGGACTCTTCATTACAAAATAACCTATGTGCATTTGGAGGAGAGATTTATGTTCCTGCATTTCGTATTAAACTTTTTTTTGGAAGACTCTCTTCAGGAATTATTTTAACTACACACTGAACTTGACTTACATTAGCTTGTTTATCTTTTTGACTCCTAGGTGATCGTGGCCGATGTGAAGCAGTCCTTCGTTGAGGACTACATCTGGCCGGCCATTCAAATGGGCCTCGTCTACGAGGAGCGCTATCTGCTGGGCACTTCTCTGGCCCGGCCCTGCATCAGTGTAGCTCTGATGGAGGCGGCACGCCAGTGTGGTGCCAAGTACCTAGCCCACGGCGCCACTGGAAAGGGAAACGACCAGGTGCGCTTCGAGCTGTGCGCCTACGCCCTCAAACCGGATCTTAAGGTACGTCCGAACATCCCAGCGGTATCTGCCAGATTGATAAGCCCAGTCAGTGCCAGATTGGATGACTATCAGCTTCTTATCGCGGCCCAAGTGCAGCAGTACAGTTGTACTTCCCCAAGTCGATTTTACCAATCTTGACGTTTCCTTGACTCCAATTTTACAAAAATATTATTTAAAAACTCAACTAACATTTTATATAAAGAGATTTTAAGTATACATAGTTGTTTTGCAGGCTTAATATAAAACTTTTCTTTCGGGTGTATGTTCAAGTGAAAAGCAAAAACAGTTTTTCTTTCATATTATTAAAAGTACAATATTTTAGGTATAATTCTACTTTTAATGATTTTATTTATTGTAATAAATTAACAAACATAATTGCTAGGATATTATAATTAAAAGGTTTATAAATAAATTGAGACCATACAAGCTTAGCCATATTCAGATGATGCCTGAAATATCTCTCTTCATATTTGTTTTTCAGATCATCGCTCCCTGGCGAGATGTGGAGTTCTGCCGCCAGTTTCAGGGACGTCAGGATCTGATTGCCTACGCCCAGCTGCACGGCATAGAGGTGAGTGCAAAGCCAACCACTCCTTGGAGCACCGATGCCAACATCCTACACATAAGCTACGAGTCCGGAATCCTAGAGGATCCCAACACAGTGGCTCCGGAAAGTCTCTACGAGATGACCGTTGATCCTTTGACCAAGGCGCCTCGAGATCCAGTTCGCTTGGTCATCCAGTTTGATCGAGGACTGCCCACCAGTGTGGAGGATTTGGCCAGCAGCCGTGTTTATACCAAACCATTGGAGATGCTGGAATTTCTCAACCAGCTGGGCGGATCCTACGGCATCGGGCGAATCGACATTGTCGAGAATCGCTATGTGGGACTCAAATCCCGCGGGGTGTACGAGACGCCAGGTGGCACCATCCTGTACGCTGCTCACCAGGACCTCGAGGTTTTCGCCTTGGACCGCGAAGTGCTCCGCACCAAGCAAGTGCTGCGCAATCGCATGGCCGACTACGTGTACAACGGATTCTGGTTCAGTCCCGAGGCGATTTATGCCCGTCGATGCATCGAGTTGGCCGAGCAGCGGGTCTCCGGAAAGGTGACCATGGAATTGGCACCCGGATATTGGCGCGCCATCGCCCGAAAGGCAGCGGAGGAAGTCGGGGCCCTTTATAACGAGCAGCTCGTGTCCATGGACGTCCATGGGGGCTATGTGCCGCAGGATGCGGGTGGCTTCATTGCCATCAATGCTGTCCGGATAAGGGAACATGTCCGGGCATTCGGCGCCTACGAAGTGCCAAAGACCGAAAAATAACTATGCATTGTTTTTACAAATTTGCATATTTTGGTAAACAGATTTTAAAATAGAACTTTACAAAGTTTTTTTATTAATGCGATACATTTTATATACATTGCGTTTAATAATGTTTTTTTGATAAATATAGTAAAACACAAAAATAATCATTATTTCTGAGTAAAATCAATAAAATTCAATAATAATATATAATTGTGATTTTTTTAAATATCGCTTATAGTGATTACGTTCCCCGATTTTAACTGATTTTGGTTTTTATTGTAGTTATAGTGAGGAATTGCCAATAAGGTAAATGATAACGAGAACGGAAGCTACGTTCGGCAAGCCGAAATTTTGATCAAGGAATGGATCCGAAATGATATAACACCAATATTCTTTGATTCAACCAAATTTGAAACAATTTTCAAAATTTACACTATCGTTCCTATGGCAGCTATATAATATGGCTTTTAAAAATATGAATATATTTGGAAAGTTTTAAGAATCCATTTATTTTACAATGCGCAAGAAATCGGCATGATAAAAAAAAAACTAGGGATAGGTTCTAGGCACTATAAAAACTTCACATACGGTATACACCACCAATTTGTACTCAAAAGAAAAAACAACAAAATTTAACACCAGATTGTTCCTTTTTCAGCTAAAGGTTTTAGGCGACGGATCTGCTCCTTTTTTAAACTTGATCTACGTACAGATAAAAAATACGTTTGCGAGAGTTTTAAGTAGAAACAGGTAGAGAAACAGATGGACAGACGGTGGACACGGCTTCATCATACTAGTCATACTCAACAAGAATACATATACTTTATAGTCTCGGAAAAGTCTCAACCCGTCATCCTCTGCAAAGCTAAATTAAATGCTCTTAATTTAAACCGCGTAGAAAAAATTAAATGCACTTCGAAATTCATAGAAAAAAAACATATTTTCAATTCCATTATACGTAGATGAAAATTACTAAAATGTATTTTATTATATGGTACAATAATTTGAAAGGAAGATGGTACACAAATTTTAAAGGAAGATAAGCTTACAAAATTTTTTAGCCTATGTTAAAATATAAAAAGCCTAATCGGTATGAAAAAAAAAGAATTAATAAAATGAGACATCGATTATCTTGACAACTCGCACAATTTCTGAAAGTAAATTTAATTAAGAAAAAATGTTCGCGACTTTTTGTGAAATGTATTATACTTATGCTGATTTTTGTGTTTGTGCTTTTTTTTGGGAGGCACGTTGTCCGTGTACAATCCACGGATATTTCCAGGTGGAGTATATCTGACCACCATTATGCCTTCATTAGCACTGAAAGGAAAATTATAGTCGAGGAGCAATAAGTTTAAATTGGCAATAGGAAACATATTTTGGAGCATGTTACTTTATGGTAGCGTCTCCATATCCCATAAAATTGGAAGACCTCCAAATCATTGCAGTAAACTCCTTTGCTCTGGGATCTAAAAAATCAAGTTTTTGTCCGCGATACCAATCGTTGACACATCTTGAAAGTCCTCCCCTTACAATTTTATACTTGCAGATGTTTTCTGAGTATTTTGAATTGGTGGGATCCGAATAAGTATAGTTTTTTTGTTTGGCAAGTTTCTGTATAGCCAAATCTGTTAAACTGACAAAGGCGTTTGAGTTGATTTTGTACATACCCTAGCATACTTTTCGCAGTCTGTGCTAAGAGCAAGATCCAAAAACAATTCCTGACATCCATGGCTATGCCTTTTCTTGTTGGTGTCCCTCAGAACTATCCTGGCATTATCTCTATTGGCTTCAATCCGTTGGAACTAAAGTTAACATTGAACTCGTTAACTGTGGAACAAGCAGTTACTTAATGAATTACCTCGCAAGCCGCCAAAAACACCAAGAATACAATTTTTAAAAAATACATACTAAATCCTTAAGTCTTTTTAAGACTCTTTGCAATAAATTTTGAAATATAGTAATTTAGTAATTTGAGTAATTCTGAAAGGTTTTTCAATGAGCGATTGTGCGAGTGGTTCGAAATAAGACTTAACGGGACAGGAAATTATCATCGCGAATACGAAGTTGCCAAAAATTGTATATTCTAAGTAGTGTCTTATAAGTCAGAACCAGTTAAGTTTAAAAATGCCAAATGTTCCTAATTTTACCCGATTTTTCTTATGACAACCAATCAGAGGAGTTTTAAACTGAGATAAAAATTGCTTTGAATGCTGAATGGCAGTCCACTTAGTTTACAGACTTTCCAATCTCAATTTCAAAACCGTTCTCCGTTGCGTCCAATGAAAATCACATAAAGTGCATTCCTGCTGAATCAAATGTTTCACCCACATGCACTTCCGAATGACAGTTAGGTATGTAATTTCCATTGCAATCAATTCGAGTGTTTGTTTAATAAATCTGCTGGCCAAGTGTGACGGCGGGGTCACTTGTAAGGACAGTCGAATACACCATTAATGAAATACTGGCATACAAATAAATATACATATATCATTTCCAATATTTGGCAGAGCTGGGACAAAAGTAAACAGAAGAGCCAACACAACTGCTCCATGTTGGAATCCCCAATTGCATTAATCTTATTTCCGGAATAGCTCAGGTCCGGCGAAAGATGAGCAAAACAAAAGATGCTCCTTGTGCATACATATTCGGCACATAAATGCAAAAACTAATATTATTACAACAAATAAATAGAGACTGTCGGCCACTCCGGCAGCAGCAGAAACATCAGCTGAGATTGTATTTCAGACTTGTAGGATATTTATATGTTCGTCTGCATCTGTGCCTTCGTGTGTAGGCAAACATTGTCTGTCCATCGACATGAATTGATGATGGAAGCGAGTGTCGAATGCCATCGAAGACATTTCGAAGCCCAGGGAATCGGGACCGAGGACACAAATCCAAGTGGTGAAAACTTTTCGACAGAACTGTAAGCTCCCGGAGGTTTTCCTAATTCAATATTTGGTTAAGTCTTTATTACTTAGTGGTATTTTATTTGTCTTGTGGACAGGGAATCTAAGCTAAATTTATACATCGGACCTGTGACATTTTGCCAAATATGTTTTCTACTTTTGTAAAGATAAAAACAATTTGGAATTTAGGGATTTACGAGTGAAAAGATAACATTTTTGAAACTGCTGCTTAAAAAGTAAATGTTATATTTTTGTTTCTTAAACTTATTATCTTGACAATTTGCATATAATAAAAACTTTAGTTATTATTTTTACTAATTAAAATTTCATCATAAGATATTTTATAATTTCCTAAAAATTTTTATATTGTGGGCTTATTGTTTAAGTAATTATTTCTTAAAATAAGAATTTCTCCCAAAAATTAAGGAGTTTCCTTTTTTAGGTGTAGCTTCGTATAACCCAGTAAAATAATCAAATGCTGCGTTTAAGTTTGTTTTTGTTTTTAAATGTATAAATCTGAATAGTTAGACTTCGGTAGCTTCAGTTTCCTTTCGTGTTGATGCTGTTTTGATAATCATGTGGTGGTCCTGCCCCAAAATGCCTTTGCCTGTTGGTCAGGCGTCTCGCTGGTAGATAGCGAAACCGAAGCACTGGACCAACTTAACTCAACTCAACTCGACTCCACACGGGTCGGTTCTGGGGCAGGCCATCCATCCATTGATGCATCCCGGAATATATCCATCCATCAGTGGCAGGGACAATGTTGCTTTTGTTGGTTGCATCGGTTGCTGGTGGCATACGATCAGAATCAGACAGCGTTGACGTTTCAACTTTGTGCCAAACTAGGCGAATGGCAAAAAGGGCTTTGGCCCAAATATGGGCGAATGCAGCCCCCCATAAATGCTGAAAAAGTTAAGCTCTCGGTTTTTGCGGGATTATTTGCGAGCGTTCAAAGGATGTCGTTAGTCCTTTGCGATTCGCAGGCGCAACTTTTGCGAAACCAAGCTCGCTCTGGTTTTTGTGGCCCCTGTGTGTGTGTCGCATTTTTTGCTGTTCTGCCTATTGAAGTTGATAAATTGAATCAAAGGTTAACTTTGTGAAAAGTGTGAAGTATGATTAACAAGAAAGCGGGCAAAGCAGCTTAAAGCGCGCATTTAAATAGCTGCTAATTTGCCCGTGTTACGCGATGATGCTGGGCAAATTGATTTAGTCAAACAGTAAACAAAACTCGAAAGAGCAGCACCGAATTCCCCACATACAGGGATGGGATGATAAAATAAAAGTCCTTGTAATTGCAAAGAAAAACACGTTCTGTCTCTTTCCAGGAACCTGTCTGAAAGCTGTCGGAGCTGGCAACAACAACCAGAAATTTATGACCAACTGGCACTGGAACCAGGAGCTATGAGCTAGGAGCTATGAGCTGGGAGATGGGAGCTGAGAGCCAGGATCCTGGCACGCCCAATACACTTCAGCAAACATAAATTTATTTATGAGCATGTGTCCGCTGCCCCGCCCACTCCCCGCCCTCCTTCCAAACACCCACACACTCTAACAGGGAGGAAGAGTCCTTGCGCCAAAGCTCACAAATTGTTTGAGGGTGAATTTTAATTATTCCTCATTGTTTTGATAGCAACGCATGCAGCCCCCTTCTCTTCTATCCAATTCATTTCCAAGCCATGAAACGTGCAGCTACTGGGATCAGAAAGGTCCTGACCTACGGCTATGATACTGGGAACTCAAGTTCATTCTCTATTTCAATTCGTTTCTCGTACTTATATGTGAGCTTGGTTAAATTTCGCACTGAGCAACCTCACTCAACAATGGTAAATTAAAAGACCTTCTTTGAAACGAAAATAAAATAACTGTGTCTGCTTTTTTTTAGTTTCAATGTGGATTAAGGAAAGTTGGACACATTTTCCAAAAACGCAAACATAAAGATATTTAAAATGTTTCTGACAGAAAATATATATATGAATCGGTAAATAAGATTGCTTCGATAATGATTCAATTTTGTTTATGTTGTTAATATTAAAGAGTGAAAATAAGCGCAAAATAAAAAAAAAGTTTGTCATTAGCGATTCGTGAAAGACAAGTTTAGGAAAAGTAAGAAACGAATTTTACAGGGTCTCCAATTTCAAAAACTTTTTAACAAAAAGAATTCGGAATTGCATGAAATTTCAAATATTTGTGTGATCACGTTACAAACGTAATTTGCCACTATTACACTTTCGAAAATTGTCCTAAGTGGGCAGTATTTTGTTTGTAATGAATGGACCCAAAGACGTTGTTCTAACGCTATAATTGCATTCTTTTGAAAATTGGTTTTTAATATTAATTCTGGCTTTTAAGTGATGAAGGGGAAAGAGTATTTCCCAATTTTATTTATATATTTCGTTTTATCAAACTGATGTTTATTATTTATTTGGCAGACTGTTAGCTCTTTTAATATAACAATTAGAAAAAATTACATGCAGAATTAATCCCCGTCCAGGGATACCTTTTCCACTGCATTGTATTCGAGCATTCGACTCGATGTCCTCTTCACGTTCCCAGCGAATGTCTTGACCTCTTTCGAACGCTTTGATTTTAATTATCACGCAGTTGCATTCGCCCAGCTACGCTGTCTTCATGACTTTTGACTCCTGGCTCCTAGCTCCTGACTCCCGACATCCGACTTTTGCCTTCCGACACCGGACTTTCGCCCTGCTTTTTTCGCGGCGCCAAAACTATGAGGCAAAAGGAATTTTAATATTGAAATTTGTTTGCGCGGGCTTTGTTGTAGTTGCTCGCCTGCCATTGCCGCTGTCGCTGTCGCTGCCGTTGGATGCATTCTCATTTTGTAATTAAGTGCAGACAGAAGTTGAAATCAGGTCACTCATACGCCCCATTGGCCGACGGTGTGACGCGGCGTAGTCCGTGAGAGAACTTAATTTTTCAAATGAATTTTTCCGCCCCAGCAGCGTCGCAATGGCTTTTCAAATTATTGCACTTGACAGCGCGTTCTCTGCTTTTCGTTGCCTAGTAGAAGCCAGCGGCAGCAGCTGCAGCAAATGTTGAAGGGCCAAGATCTGAGGACAAGTGAAACTAATTAATTCGTGAAAATCCCAGGTGAACCTAGAAATTCATATCTTTTTTCTGCTGCAACAGGATGATATTGTTTTCAGCTCCCTTTTACGTAAATATGCAAATCGCAGCGCGAAACTTTTTCTGTGCAATTGAAATTGAGTTTTAAAGTTTCGAAATCCATTTTAATGCATTTCGCTCTACACCTTTCCGCGCATGCAGTTCGAAAAGCGGGGAAAGGCGGGGAAAAGCCGGGCAGCACAAGGTAACTACAAAATTCCAGATACAATTTTCCAACAGAATGTTGCCCTGCCAGCGCGGCACGTGGAACGTGGCCAGATTATGCTGTATTATCACCTGTAAATCCTTATTGGCAATCAAAACTTTGCCAACGGGCTGCCCCCTGTCCACTTAGTCCGCACCCATCCCCCCCTCCCCGCAAACTTCACTATTTTTACGTTAGTATTTGTATTTGCTACTTTCAATGGATTCTGTGAAATCTGCGAAATCTGTGCATGCAGGCAAACTTTTAATTTTATTGGAAAACTTGTTGAGTTTTTTGGTTCGGCATATTTTTATATCCTCTGCGAACAAAATGTATACCTTCAATAGAAAAAACTTTGGTTTATCTAAAGTCAGAAAAGTACTCTACTTTTATAAAATTAGTTTTTTTTAGTAAAGCAAATAAATGTTATATTAAAATTACAGAACGATAACTGTGTTACTTTATCTGAAGATAAATGTTTTGTTTTAAAGTGTACTCTGTATATAATTATAATATAAACTAAACAAAGAAAATACTTGCAGAAAATATATATTTATAGGCACTTTAAAATGTTATTAGGCAGACCCTCTTTTAGTAAGATTATCTGCATTGTTGTTTTTAAGTTACTATTATTACTACTATTGCTAATTAATATGTTTTTTGTCAAATATGTTTTTTGTTCTACTATAAAAAAAATTAAGCTAAATATAAGGCTTTAAAAAATGAAGAACAACTTAAAATTTTATCGAAAAACGAAATTTAAATCAAAGCCAAAGTCAAAGCTACTGCCATACGACTCAAATATTCTTAAACATATTTTTTTGCCGTAGTATCCCGGCTGTTCTGCAGTTGATGTCCCAAAGCAATTACCCACGCATTATGCTGCTGACAGTGTGGATTTGAGAGGCGGTTAAATGGCGCTTCGAATTATTTTG